GGCAATTAAATGCACTTCTTAGCAATTTGGAAACGGGCCCTCGGTATCGATTTAGGGTGTCCTACAACGAGGTTGATGTACATCAGCTTAAAGATGAGAACAGCCAGTTGAGGAGAGAAAAAATAAAATTGGAAGAATCGTTGGTACAGGAGAAGGCAAAGCGATTGCGAGTGGATAAAAAAGCCCGAGAAGCTCTCGAGAAAGCTGAGAAGAAAGGGGCCTTCTACATTAAAAAATTTATTCAGTTGGCCAAAAAAGTGATTGCAAATGGAAAAAAAGGTAGAGACCCAGCTAAGAAGAAGTTTAATGACTATTCTAAGCACCATCAAAAGAGAATTAAAAACCAACAGAAGGAGGAGTGCTAAACTACACTCTCCTTTCTTGGGCTGTACAATTTTGTTGCAACCAAAATTGAAGTCCTCAACACTGAGACTAATCAATATGAAACTTTCAATCTTGTTGGAGAGGAAGAGCTGCCATTTACAGAGTCTGACCCAAAGGCCCTTAATAATGATGACATTGATAACATAAATATGTGGCTCTACCTCAAAGATAAATTCATTATTTCAAATGAGGCCCGGCATGAAATTGCCATTAAGGCTAATGATCTCCCCAATATATATTCCATCAAGAAGCAAATTAATGAGCTAAACAGTGAATGGAACTTGAAACCAACACCAGGAGATGCTGAAGGTGTTCAGTTAGGATTTGCAGAAAGCTTGCAAGAGCACATTGTTAGGCTTCAGAAGAATGGAGAAATCAATGATGGAGAAGCTATTAAGATCAAGCTTAGTGGTGATGGTACAAATATTGGAAAGGGGCTTACTATTCTCCATGAAAAGGATGTGGCAATGGGTGTGAAGGCAAATTATATACTTGCTATTATAAAAACTACAGGGACATGATAATCTGAGAGACAGCCTAGCAGACCCTCGAATGGAAATGTCAAATTTAAAGGACATAAGTGCAAATAATTGCACCTATAAAATTGAATACTTTTTAGGTGGAGATTTGAAATTTTTAGCACTGGTATGTGGTTTAAGCAGGGCAAATGAGGATTATGCTTGTGTGTGATGCAAGTGTCCCAGGGAGCAACAGTGGGACACAAGCAAAACATGGTCAATTAAT